GTATTTTAGGGAGACATTCTTTTTCCTCTGTGTTAACTGTGAATTAATGTCATATTAGAACTTACTGGCTCAGATGCTGGGGTCTTTTCTCATACCAGCTGGGTGTCCAACAGCTCAATTCAGTTCTGACACCAACTCCTGAAGTTAGTGCAGACTCCATGGGTTAAGCGCTCAGTCTCACAAGACTGCCCTCACCTCTGGCACCAGGCGCAAGTCCTGGGGGGATGGTCACCTGTTCTTCCAACCAACCAGCTATAAATCGAGGGTTCCCCGACCCCCTCCTCAGGTTTGATAATTTGCAAGAATGACTCAAAGTTAGGAAAACACTTCACTTATATTTACTGGTTTATTATAAAGGATACAACTCAGGAACAGCCAAATGGAAAGATGTGTAGGGCAAGGTACAAGGGCGGTGGGGTTGGCACAGAGCTTCTAGGCTCTTGCTGGACATGCCACCCTCAACACCTCAGTGTGTTCACCAACTTGAAAGCTTCTCAAACTCTGTTACTTAGGGGTTTTTATGGAGATCCCATTAAGTAGGCATGATGGATTAAATCATTGGCCATTCGTGAGTGAGCTCAGTCTCAGGCCCCTCACTCCTCCCTGGAGGCCAGGGGGTGGGCTAAAAGTTCCAGCCCTCTAATCACCTTGCTGACCTTTCTGGCAACCAGCCCCCATCTTGAAGCTATTGAGGGTCCCACTGGGAGTCACCTCATTAGCACAAATTCACGTACGGTTGAGAGGGGCTTGCCAGGAACAACAACAAGATACTTCCCTCAGGAAATTCCAGGGGTTTTAGGAGCTCTGTGCCAGGAACCAAGGACAAAGACCAAATGCATTTTTTATTATACCATAGGTGCCTTAGCCCATCTGAAATCCAGGTATTTCATTTTTCTCTATTAGTGTGTCTAGTGTAGTGTCAGTTGGAGGGAGTGTTTCCTATTTTAGTTGCATTAGGTCTATTAAAATTTAGTGTTTGTTTTAGAGGTGTACATATCACTGGTGGCTTAAATGGTTCATTTAAGTCTATGTATGTATCTGAGATTGAATGTCCTCAATAAAAATGGTAAGGCTTAGGTACTGTTTTTTGACTACTTTGACTCATACCTGTGTTTTTTAATGTAGAGTCATAGCAAAACAACAATAACCTCCTTTTATTTAGTACAGAACCAGTTATGAACAGTTACTTTGCTAGTTGCTTTATTACAGCAGTGTAACAAAGAAGCTATTATTAATATTACCCTTTTCTTAACACACATAATTTCATTGATAAGGAAGTTAAGATCCAGACTTTAATGCCACTCAGCTAGAAAGCAGCAGAGTTGATTTAATCTAGGTCTCTTGGGCTCCCAAATCTGTGCTCTTTTCATTACATCTGCTTCTCCCTATTTGCATATACACTTGACTTCCTGCTTTCAGATGAAAAGCACTGGGTAAATGATATAATGGAATCTGTACTGGACTGCAGATGAGGCCTTTGACTGGCTAGCTGTGTAACTGAGACAAATTGTTGGGTTTGAATTTTATTTTTAAAGTAAGGAGCTGACTAGATGGTTTCTGAGATCCCTTCCGGCTCTAGAAGTATAAAACTATAAAAACCATACATAATTACTTTGATAGCTGTTTGTTTTTTCATGTCTATCAATTATGTAAAACTTCAGAAAAGAATCAATGTAAAACTTTAAAGAAAATATCCACATTTTTTAACCTTTGACCTTGTGGCCCTAGGATGATAAATTTACCAAAGGCTTTCTTTGTATTCCAGACAGATTATGAGGGACAAGCCAAGAAGCTCCTGGAATTGATGGAAAGCACAGATGTGATCATTGTTGCTGGAGGGGATGGAACCCTGCAAGAGGTATGACTGTTTTTCTCTTTGAAGCCATTCTGAAGGAGAGAAAAATGGAAATTAGACCTTAGAGCAGTGGTATAAAGCAGTTATAACTTAAATGAATTATTTCTTTGTAATTCATTTGTTTAGGATTGTTAGTCTCTGAAACTAGTATAGCTTCAACTTTTTCTCATGCACTTTTTTTCATTGCTTTTTGTAAACCCTCTACCTGGCACATAGAAGAGTTTTTGTATTATCAAATTTAAGTTTGATAACACTGAATAAAACAGGAGACAAGATGGGGGTGGGTAGCATAGGCTTGTTATGTTCTGAAGACTTGTATGAAGTAGCCCTGTTTGTAATTGAATCATATTATAATTTTAATTATGAGGAATGTTTCTTATAAAGATTTCTTTTAAGAAAATACATCTATTTATTCTCACATCATTTCCATCACATACAGTGTTATCTCTTAATACTACATTTATAGGAAGAGGTCTACATGTTCAGATGTGTGCACCTGCTTTGTTTTAATATTACACATCCTCACTGAGATACCTCTATGCATCTATTAGAATGGCCAGAATTTCAGAACACTGACATTATCAAATGCTGGCGAGAATGTGGAGCAACAGGAACTCTCATTCATTGCTACTGGGGCTGCAAAATGGTACAGCCATTTTGCAACAGTTGAGTGATTTCTTATAAAACTGAATATGCTCTTAGAGGATGTGGCAATTGTACTCCTTAGCACTTACCCAAATGAGTTGAAAACTTATGTCCACACAAAAGTCTGCATGTGGATGTTTATAGCAGCTTTATTCGTAATTGCCAAAATGTGGATGCAACCAACATGTCCTTCAGTAGATGAACGGTTAAAGTGAGGTACATCCAGACAGTGGAATATTATTCAGAGAACTGAGCTATCAAGCTATGAAAAGACATGGATGAAACTTAAATGCATATTACTGAGGGAACGGCCAATCTGAAAAGACTGCATACTATATGATTCCAATTGTTTAACAGCTGGAAAAGGCAAAATATGGAGACAGTGAAAAGATCAGTGGTTGCCATAGGTTGGGCGAAGGGAGAAATGAATGGCAAAGCACAGAGGATTTTTTAGGGCAGTGAAACTACTCTATATGATACTATAATGGTGGATACATGTCATTATACATTTGTTCAAACACATAGAATGTATAACACAAAGATTGAACCCTAATGTAAACTGTGGACATTGGGCAATAATGATACGACATTGTAGGTTCATCAGTTGTAACAAATGTACCGCTCTGGTGGGGGATGTTGATAATGGGGAAGGGTATACAAGTGTGGGGCTGGGAGGTATATGGGAAATCTCTGTACCTCCGTCACAATTTCACTGTGAACCTAAAACTGCTTTAAAAAATACAGTTTATTAATTTAAAAAATTTACATATCCTTAGTGCTTACTTTGGTCCAATAAGGACACAGTAAGTGTGTTGCCCTGTAAGTGCTCTTCTTTTCCATGCAGAAGACTCATGTATTCATCATACATCGGGAACTCCTAAAGAGCCCAATGTAGGTGATCCTGCCCACTGCTCAGTTATTCCATCCTGTATACTATTATATAATTCATATCCATACCTCATTTCTTTTTTTTTTTTTT